AAATGAGTCAGTTCTTTGCATCAGGTGGCCAAAGTATTGGAATTTCAGCTTCAATATCAGTCCTTCCAATAAATATTCAGGACTGATTTGCTTTAGGATGGACTGGTTGGATCTCCTTGCAGTCCAAGGGCCTCTCAGGAGTCTTCTCCAACACCACAATTCAAAAGCATCAATTCTTCTGCACTCAGCTTTCTTTATGGTCCAACTCTCACATCCATACATGACTACTGGAAAAACCATAGCTTTGACTAGACAGACCTTTGTTGGCGGAATAATGTCTGCTTTTTAACATGCTGTCTAGGTTGGTCATAGCTTTTCTTCCAAGGAGCAAGCATCTTTTAATTTCATGGCTGACTGAACTGAGATGATAGATAATTGTAGGTAAAGCTAAAGGGCAGATGCAGGTCCTTCAAAGTGTTCTCCAAGCAGGATTCACCTTGACCACTTGGGCTTGGGTTGTGTCTCTGGACCCTTTTGAGACAAGAGCTTCCCGCAAGAATATTGGTAGAGGTTAGTAATTTCTGTCTCATACTGTTGTGTGAATTCACTAAGACTGTGTATTCTTTGTAAACCATATAGCAGATTGCATATGTAACTACTCACGTGTGGACAGAGACGAGGGTTCTGGCTGACTGAAAAGAAGGCGTCATGCAGTTTGTTCATCTTCTGCTCACCAGCCATCTTCTTCTGAAAATGGTCAACAGTGGGGTGTGGGCTTTGAAAAGACCTTGTTAGAGCCAAGATGGCCACAGTGTTGCCCGACCTGACAGCAGAGTGAGCCTTTGGTGGGGTGAAGTGACCGCTCATCCACGGTTCAGCAGCTCAGCTCACTCCTCTCCCGTTAGGAAGGACTGATTTAGTCCCCAGGATAGGGGCAGGGATTTGTGCTGACTCAGCAGCCGAATGACTCTGTGTGGCTAAGAGTTTCTCTGGTCATCTTTCTTGGAGGCTTCAGCAGAAGAAAGAATGATGAGGGCAGCCTAGTGTTCAGTCCCACACGCGGCAAGTTCTTCTGTTCTGTTCTCGCCCCGGGGAGGCGAGGGACTGAAGACTCAGTATCATGTAAAAATGAACTGCATCTTCCTACTATTTGAATTTGAATACCTTGGGGCGTAGATAGCCTAGGACATTGCAGCATAGCACTGCAAGTCTGATTTGCTGATGTTCCGAAAATACCTTTAGAATGGCAAAACTTTACTGAGAAATCATTTGTGCACAATAAAATATATCCATTTGATGTATTTTCCGGTTGTATATACACTGAAAAGCAGTCCCATAATCAGGATGCACAGCATCTTTATCATCCCCAAAGATTCCTAGAGCCCCTTTGTAGTCTGTTTCTCCCTCTGCTCCATCCCCAGGTGACCGCTGACATGCTTTTTGTTACTATAAATAAGTTTTCATTTCATACAAATAGAATAATACCACCTGTATTATTTTGTTGATGTCTTGTTTCACTCAGGATACATTTTTTATTGTGGTAAATAATATAATAACATAAAAGGTACCATTTTAATCATTTTTAGTCTACAGTGGTCCACCCACATTGCTATGCAGCCACCAACCTTATTCAGAACAGTTTTCCCCTTGCAAAACTAAAACTCTGTAACCATTTAACACTAACTCCCCCTTCCTCTCAACCCCTGGCAACCACCATTGTATTATTTGTCTTTGTCAATTTGACTACTCTGTGGTATTGGAGAAGACTCTCGAGAGTCCCTTGGACTGCAAGGAGATCCAACCAGTCCATCCTAAAGATCAGTCCTGGGTGTTCATTGGAAGGACTGATATTGAAGCTGAAACTCCAATACTTTGGCCACCTCATGTGAAGAGTTGACTCGTTGGAAAAGACCCTAATGCTGGGAGGGATTGGGGGCAGGAGGAGAAGGGGACGACAGAGGATGAGATGGCTGGATGGCATCACCAACTCGATGGGCATGAGTTTGAGTAAACTCCGAGAGTTTGTGATGGACAGGGAGGCCTGGTGTGCTGTGATTCATGGGGTCGCAAAGAGTCGGACACGACTGAGTGACTGAACTGAACTGAACTGAGGTTCCTCAGATAAGTGGAAATCTTGCAGTATTTGTCCCTTTGTGCCTGGCTTATTTTATTTAGCATATCTTCAAAGTTCTTCCATGTCATAGCCCGTGTCAGAATTCCCTTTTTAAAGCTGATTAACATTCCATTATATACAGAGACCACATTTTGTATATCCATTCATCTCTCAGTAGATGCTGGGGTTGCTTCTACCTTTGTGCTGTCGTGAGCAGTGCTGCTGTGAACTTGGGTGTAGGAATATCTCTTCTGGTTCTTGCTTTGAATTCTTTAGGGTATGTATGTGGTAATTCTGCGTTTGACTTTTTGGGGAACCTCCATACTCTTTTCCACAGTGGCTGCGCCATTCTACAATGTTCCTTTTTAAACATGCAGTTTTGCCTTAGACCTGTGTCTTGTTCTGATGATCACTTTGCTGCTGCTGAGTCGCGGCCGCGTCTGTGCAACCCCATAGACGGCAGCCCACCAGGCTCCCCTGTCCCTGGGATTCTCCAGGCAAGAACACTGGAGTGGGCTGCCATTGCCTTCTCCGGATGATCCCTCTGTGTTCCAGAGAACCAGTTAGACATATCCTTTGACTTCCCATAGCCCTGCATGATAATGGTCTTTTCCTTCAGTATCCCGAGCCTCTGCCTTTCCAGTCCTTTCATACCGATGTAATTGCTCAGAGAATGGCTCAGCTTTAATAACCTCAAGTGAAATTGCATGGCTCACTTTCTATTAGCTATAGCCATTCCCCTCTGTGTCCTACCTGTCTCTCATTAGCTGTAGTTATTATACAACCTGCCAGTATCCTGTGAACAGTATCAGGATAAAACCACCCACATCCTGTTAACTCCTATTATACACCTACCTTAGTCCTCGTCATTGAATCTGTTGTGCTATACATCCTACTTGTATGCATGTAGCTGTAACTGTTAAATAACCTGGCCTATTCACTATCCCCTAATCTTTTGCAAACAACATCTGACATCCTATTCATAATGTCTTCAGTGCTGACTCACTGTTCACTTGTTATTAAATCCAGGTATCAAAAGCCCACCAGGAAACAGCATACATCATTAACTGGGGGGGAGGCTAGCTCTTGTGAATGTACAGTGTGTGCAGGGGGCTTTGGTGTAGGATCTTTTCCTTTGAGCAATATGGTACAGCCCACCAGTCTTTGTAAGTCATCTTAATGGAGCGAGAGAGAGAGTGTGTGTGTGTGTGTGTGTATGCGCGCGTGCATGCATGCATGCATGCATGTGTTTGAGGATGTGGGGATAAGGGAGTTTTCCAGGCACATAGGATTGGAAAGCCTGGTAAGAAGGGACAGCATGGAAGAAGATGACTTGCTGGGGAAAGGCGAGGGGGAGAGAGGACTGCAGGATGACGTCAGCGTTCCCTTGGCGGGACAGAACCCTTTTGGATGCTGTGTTTTTTGTTAATGGTTGACGAGTTCGGGTGACTGTGCAGCATATCAACCCTTGGCATGTTGCCAGAATGACCGCCCACCCTCGGTTCTTTTCAGTTTTATGACCCCGTGCTTATCTGAGCTCTGAGGAAGGGGGGCTCTGCCCCCAGCACACCCCCGACACTTGGGTCAGAGCTGCCTAGTTAGCAGCTGCTGCAGGCGAAGACCTCGTTCCTTAGGTGAGCACAGAGGAAGACGTTCAGTCCAGAACAGGGCCAGGCCCACAGCAGAAGCCCGTCAAGTGTTGGCTGAACACGGTGGCAGGGCCACTCGTGCAATCTGTCTTTGCCTCGTCATCACCGATCTTAACTCCTGAGGTCAGGAAAGGAGAATGGGTTCTTGGCAGCCATCTAGCACATGCTGGGGTTACTGTCTGTAGGCACACGCGTGTGATAAAAAGACTAATGAGCTGTGTGGACATAAGAGAGTTCTCAGAAAATCCTTTGCCTTTCTGAAACACTTTTTTAAAACGCTACCAAATCTGTGATCTTCTTTGATTCCACATGCTTTCCTGTATGTTGGGCCTCCCATTGTGTGGATGAGAAGCTGAGATGGTGCTGGGGTCTCCGAGCGGAGTCAGGACCGCTGCCGTCTTGCTGCCTCTCTGCATGGCACGCAGTGACACGAGGGGGAGTTGGCAGGGCCCAGCAGTGGTCCAGACTGAATTCACCTCTGGTCAGGGCTCCCTACACTTGTGTGTGCGGGGCAGAAGCTTCCACGGGGATGTCCCTTGACAGCCAGAGGGCCAAGCCCAGCTGCGCATCCATCACCACAGCCCAGCTTTGTGTAAATGAAACCTCTTTGTTCTCCCACCTCCGCAGTCTCTGGTTCCTGTGTTTACCAGACACCTGCTGATGCCTCGCCCTACACACAGCTGAAGTCCGGGTCTGCCTTCTGTTCCCGAAGCCCCCTCCCCTCTTCCTGCTCCCTGAGGTTACTGAGGACCCGGTGTAACAGGTCCCCTGGCATCTGGGTCTGAGCCACGGAGGTGACGGATCTGAGGGCCTCCAAGCAGGATGGGTCCATCTTGAAGCTGAAAACAGTACCTGGTTATCCTGGCATCTGTGTGCTTCTGATGGTGTGCAGTTCAATGGTCAGCGTGTGTTTTGAGATCTACTGTGGGTCTCGCGGACTTTTCATCTTGTTTTGTTATTAAGTGCTTTAGTCTTTTAGATATGTATTCTTCAAAAGCTTGTCCTGTTTCTAAACATAATTTGTGTGTGTCATAGGGCTCCCCTCATTTTATGATGACCCCAGTGGGCGTGCAGGGGTCCACTTGCTGGAGGATGACCCCAGTGGGGAAGTAGGGGTCAGCCTGCTGGTGTTCCAGTTTGAACACCATGAGGTGACCTAGGAGACGTGTGTCTCAATGCCTAAACTGAGGCCCATGCCGTTTCTTAGGTTGCCTTCTCTGGAGGGGACGGTTTGCAGCAGTGGGAGGCCCTGCCCCGGCCACGTCTCACCCTCTTCCGTCTCTGTCGTCCTCCTGCAGGCTGGCCGTGTGTGACCCTGTCTGTGCTGGGATTCTTGTACTGCTACTCCCACGTGGGCATCGCCTGGGCCCACACGTACTCTGGCAGCTAACTGCGCCAGGCCTAGGTCCGCCCTTGTCATTGGTTTCCAGGGCACACGATGCTCCACCGTCACCTCGAACCTCAAGGTAACCTCCAGGGGACCTGCTCATCTTTTGTTGAAGTTACCTCACTCCAAGACTGGAAACTTGAGCTCTCGTAACTTTGGGAACTTAGAGATCCTCTTCCCATCCTCCTCCTTTGTCTATAGAGTAAGCTGGACCCCAAGCAGTAAAACGTCTTGCCTAGCCGTAGATGGTGATGTTGTGGTCCAGACCCCAGGTTCTTTGTCCTTTACCAAGAATTAAATGCAACAGGTGTTTCTTGATTGAGGCATATAAGTTCTGATTAGTGATAGGCCTGTCTTCCACTGGGCAGTGTTTCTGAAACATGTTGGGTCAGTGGCATTTAAGTGGCCCCTTCCCTGCTTCCTGTAGTGCAGTTTGTAGAACCAGCACTGAGGGGAGCATCACATTTTAGCTCCTTGGCAGGGGCGTGACAAAGCCACAGCTGTGTTGCTAACACCTGGGTCAAGGGAGATAGAATATAGATGTCAGTACCTAAGGAGGGCTGTTACTTGAGTTCATCATTCATCAGGGTGATCTCCATTTGGTTGCTTGCTCCCTAGATCTGCAGGGAAGTATAAACAGAACAGTTCCTCTACCTGACAGTTAATTATTTCCTAGTAAAGAAGTATAATTTAAAAAAAAAAAAAACACAGGGGACAGTGTATGACAGACAGGTGCTACGGGGCAAGTCAAAGAGGGTAAAGAGGACTTCTGTGGTCTCTCCTCTCTCCATGCGGGTCCCAACAGTCCCCTTCCCATGAGTGGTTCAGCCTCAGTGGTTTATGCTGTTTGTTGCCAATAAAATGGAGCCCTTCCTATCATACCAATACTTCATATTTTTGTAAGATTGTCTTGAATATTTTTTGAAGAAAACGTTTAAAGTCAAAACACACTTAATTCTGAATTATTCACTCTTCTGGAAGGATGCTAACAGGCCACTAATGGCCTCAAGTAGTAGATAATTCAGAATACTTCCATTTGGCTTTGCTTTTTTTTTTTTTCCTGAGGGGTAGAGGGTAAGTGAAGCAGCTCTAAAATTTGAATCCATAGTGTACCCAATTATGGGAGAACAGAGCAACATCTCAGGCACATGAATTAATTGTCATTGAGTAGAAGGTGCACGCGGACCTGGTCTGTCCCCACCGTCTCCTGTTAGTCATTTGGTATTGTCCTTGTGTCCTGGCTGCGGTTATTAGCTCAATGAGATTTCAACTCCCGGAGTGCAGGACCCGTCACTTTGCTGGCGTCCTTTCTTCCCGGCCTCTCTGCTTGAAGGCGAGTGGGGAGGGACCAGATGTGGATGGCAGGGGGTAGGCACACGCCGTGTTAGCTGCGGCAAAGGACAGAGGCTGGAGTGGGGCAGGCAGACCAGGGCAACAGCGGCCTTGGCAGCTGGCCTGATGAAGGAGGAGGAGACAGGCTGGCAAGTCCAGGTGCTGGGAAGTTTTCAGGAGATGAGGTTGAGAAAGGGTGAGCAGTCAGATAAATACAGTAAAACTTCAGGGACTCTTATTCAAGAGTTGTAATCTGCCAGAGGGCTTTTAATTGAAGTTTATAGAGGAACAAAATCGTGGGAAGATAATTGCAGGGAAATGTCTAATATATGGGGTTCCCAGGTGGTGAAGTGGTAAAAGGTCCTTCCGCCAGTACAGGAGATGCTAAGAGGCCTGTGTTTGACCCCTGGGTCAGGAAGGTCCCCTGGAGGAGGACATGGCAACCCACTCTAGTGTTCTTGCCTGGAGAATCCCATGGACAGAGGAGCCTGGCGGGCTACAATGCCTGGGGTTGCAAAGAGTCAGACATAACTGAGCGTGCACACACGCGTCTAATATATGTGTATATATAAATAGTATATATTTATATATGTGTTTAGTTGCTCAGTTGTGTCTGATTTTTTTGTCACCCCATGAACTGTAGCCCGCCAGGCTCCTCTGTTCATGGGATTCTCCAGGCAAGAATACTGGAGTGGATTGCCATTCTCTTCTCCAGGGGATCTTCCTGATGCAGGGATTGAACCCGGGTCTCCTGCATTGCAGGCAGATTCTTTACCATCTGAGCTACAGGGAAGTCCTTATACATATAAATATAATATAAATAATGCAAAGTATTTTCAACTCTTTGGAGATGCCATTTTTATAAAAACAAATAGGCTTATTTACTCATTTAAACTATACTGGAAGAATAAGTTAATAAATTTGAAAGTAATAATCCTGAATTTCTTTTAAGCTATTATACGATTGAGTGGTTCTCAGGAATGAGTCCATGATTACTGTGTTTAGCTATATGTTTGAGGCCTAATTAACTAATATGTGAATAACCATCCAGGACCACTGTTATCTTAACCTCTTGCTTTTCTCCCACTGTAATATGAAAGTGATAATGTCTGTTTTCATGCATATGAACTCAAATTCTTGGAGTTGCTTTAAATGAAGGACTCCTGAGGTGTCTGAGCAGACACAGCAGCTCCAGCTGAAGGACATCTGACGTGTCACTTTCCATACTTATCAGCCCTGGGCAACTTCAAGCACAGGACAGCGACAGGTCCCAAGGTCACTTCTAGCCCCAGGATCCTCTGACTCCAGCCTAGTTCTGTGGGCACACCGGAGCGCTCCAGGCATGATTGCCATGATGATTTCCAAGGAGGCAAGGAAAACATTTGAAGGACAGCCAAATATTGGTCATCTTGACTAATTCCTGGGACCATGCATGAAGATGGAAAAGTATTTCATTGTTTCCTCAGATTAATTTATTTGAAAAGTGACAGCAGAAGCCCTTTGTTCTTAATAGTAAAGACTGTAGACTTAGAAAATAAATTAATCATATATAATATAGTATAATCTATATATTGGGAGAATGGTAATTTAGTGGGAGGAGGTTTCCCCTTAGAGAAAGAGCCTACTCATTGCTTCTTTGTTTAAACTAATATAATGATAGACTAAGTAGTATAAGAAATTAATATAATGAATTTCTTTTCTAGAAAATGTCCCAGAACATATCCCATACAGAAAGGCCAACTACTGAGAAGCCAGATTATCTCGATGGTGCTGGCCTTTCTCAGTGCATGTTGAGATGCCTCTCTGAAGCCTTTCTTCATTGAAATTGTTCTATTTTGGAACAAGCCAGCAAAATTCCTTTTTTTTTTTTTAATCATTGAAACCCATTTGGCATCCAAAATGTAACATCTATTACTTGGCTCTGTGTTACTTAATCCTTGTGACTAATTATAAAAACCATATTTACAGAGAAAGATGTTTTTCACCACTGAGGCACTCTAAAGAGTACAGTATTTAGTGCTTTATTAGGTGAGACTTTTGAAATGAACATCAGTCATTTGGAACTTTAAAAAAGTCATCACCCTTAGTTTTATTATGCTTTCCTGCAGTGTTAAAAAAAAAAATAGGGTGTGTAGAGAAAGTCACTAAAAATACTGGATTTATACTGCAGCCCAATGAAATCAAGCAGAGGCCTTGAACGTGGCTTGTGAATCACAAATTCCTCATCCCTGAGGTAAGCTCTACCGTCTATCAATAGAAAAGTGCCATTCAATAGAAAAGCGCCATTTGTGAAGTGTGAGCCATCGGTATGAAATAAGGGCTCCTGTTGGCAGTGTTGTGGCGGATCGTGCTGTGAGCAGGAGACAGTACCGGTTGAAACCACAGCAGAGCCGAATCGGTGCTGATGAACAGCACTGCTGCAGGGACAAGCAGTTCTCCACCGTCATAGCTTCTGAGACAATCAGTGAATAAAGCATAGGTCAGAACTCATATTGTTGGCACTGAGTCTTTCCAGAAAGACTCAGTTTTTTGACCGTATGTTTTAAAAGGCAGCAAAGCATGAATATAGAGGTTGCAATCTAAATTGTTCAGGATGAAAAGCGTTCAGATCTAGGTGGAAGGTCAGCTTCAGCTCTGTGTTCAGTCAATGTGCTGTACCACACTTTCCCAGCGATGCCAGGTTTGGAAGGCATCTCTGTACGTCTCATAGCGTTGATAGCTCTATTTCAAGATCATATGACAAAGCACCTTCCCAGCCATTCTGTCACTGCAGAATCTGGCACACAATCTTGGTGTCTCTAGCATTTTAAAGTTCTCCAAAAACCACAGTCATAGGTGCTGTCCAAATTAGAGGTCCCCAGGCTCTTGAAAAGGTCTATGAAAGTACCACCTTGTTCTGTCATCTTAGGTCTGGAAGTTTATAGAAGGAAAGGCAAAAGCAATCATGTATGATCATTATAAAATAGTTTATTTACCATAATAAATAAAATTAAACTTTTTTTTTCTTTTTACAAATACCACTTGTGCTTATTTAAAAATGTTGAGAAGGGATTATCAGTGGTGGGGCCACCCGTTCCTCTTCACATCCCCGGGTTGCAAGTCATACAGCAAAGTTTTGGCAGCATCCTCAGCTGACCACAAAAATAGTATCAGCTCATTTGCACTTCTGTTGACTCATGCTCCTTTGGACTAAATGACAGATGCAAAGGAAGAAGAGAAACCCAATGGAGGATTTGGCAGGACTCGATGGCAAGAGTGTTAATACAAGGAGGAGTCCCCAAATGACAAACTGCTCGTGAGCAGAAGTGTCCTCAAAAGACTGGTGAAATGTGGGGACAGTCTCCGATGGATGCACAAACACAGTGTCTGAACAGTGAGAATACATTCATGGGGGAGGGGCAGGGGGGTTGCATCTTTCTTCATATAAAAGCAGTTCATATCCTGATACAAGATCCGTGAACGTCTCCTTGAATGACTAGTGGATCTGTTGGCTGACTCCGAAGTCACAGATAAAAAGACAATGGCTCCAAGAAAAGTTTCCTGGCAGGTGGGGAGGGGGGGGTGCAGGCAGCCACCCACCGATCTGGCACCTGCGGGGTAGTCAAGTCCAGTTCTAGAGGTTCCAGAATAAGTCCTATAGGCTCATGTGAGAATGAAGTTTCATTTGAAACTAATTTAAGCTGGAGGCACAGTCAGTCAGTTAAAACATCTCAACATGAACACCCTGGGTGCTGTCTCTGATGGCTGCGGTTGGTGCTGGGAGGACGCTGAAATCTCATCCAGTTAGAGGGCACGAGAGCTGGTGAAGGTCATCTTTATTGATGCAAGCGAGAAGGCAGTGCAATGACGGAGTGACAGAGGAGAGGCTGTGTGGGGGCCTGAGCGGGCCCTCAGGGGTCTCCTCTTTAAGCAACACTACGTGAGGAGGGGGGAGGGGGAAAAAGAGTGTTGGCAGCGCCATCACAGTTGGAGTTCCATTCAAGGGTCTTAAGGCTAAACATCTTTAGAGCAAAACACTGTACAGTCTGTGCATCACACGCACATCAACTCGTATGGCCGCTAGGGCTCCTGAAATTTCCCAGAGGGTGCCTGTGCCATCTGGTGGTGAATGCAGCAAGGGTTTCTGAGGCTCCTTCCTACACCTGCCTGGGGCTTCTAAGGCATTCATTTCCTCCCCACCCAGGCTTGGGTGCAAAGTTTAACAGCTGGCTTAACACTTTCACCTTCCACTTACCAATCCAGGAGAGGCAGGTGGCTGGATGGAGTGGTGTGATGGAGTGTGTTTTTCCTCTGAGCTGGGCTAATGCCATTTCTGAAAAAGGATTCCGGGAAAGGGCCCTGCCACAGGACGCGCTCTGTGTCACAGCACTTAGGATGATCTAGAAGGCTGAGGGTAAAACAAGCCCAGGGATTGAATAACAAGAATTGGAAACAGCTTTGAAACACGTGGGCCCATGTGGCTGTGGCATTTTTGGAAACCACTGGTTCCTGACTACTGGCTACAAACTCTGCACACAGATTTAATCTGAGGTCCGGAATATAAAGAAAGGTCTTAGAAGTAATCAAGCCAGAGGATGTGAAGGTGAGGGAGGGGGATGGGTGACAGTGGAGCTACAATGATTGTGCATCAGACCAGGGTTTCTCAACCAGATGGCTGCGCCCCGCTGCCTCCCACAGGAATCTCATCCTACCCAGAGGAGAGGCCTCTGCGGGTATATGGAACAGCAACACTCATTGCTGGAGAGATTGCCCTCCACCAAGAATGCGCATTCCATCTTGTTGGCCATCTTAGTTCACAGACTCAACCCTCACCCCCCCACCTCCGTCAGCAGGGAGGGAGGGGTACCAGCAGGACCTCCTTCTCCAACGTGTGTCAAGGATACTCTCTGGGAAACGGAGCCTCCCTATGAATGACATCCAAAGTAAGGAATTGATGATGTAAGAGATCAAATAACCAGCAATTCCTGGGCAATGGTATAAAGACACCATGTCCCCTTCCCTCAAAAAGGAGAAAAACAGCTCAGGTAAGTCTACATCCCTCAGCATAACTTTTCTACACTCTAAAGGTTGAGCCCAATACCCAAACAGTGTTTGTTTTCCTTAATCTCTCTTCAGCCACCAGATAATGGTTTACAGTGGAAGGTTGAGTTGGTGGTATCTGAAGCTCGTGGGCCTTGCTTGGGAAGCCAGAGCAGCATCTGGGCAAAGGTAGGTAGTAAGCACAAAGCAGCCTGTGGCCAAGTGCATGGTATAAAAATACAAGGAAAGGAGGTTTGGCCCATTTAAGAAATGTTTTTGTTTTTTTACCCAGAGAGAATCATTATAGCAAAAATCCCACAAATCCTTAAATGGAGAAGCCTAAAAGCCTATGCAGCCCTACCTGTGTTTCTCTGCACCCCCAGGAGCATGGGTTGCGGGCCCCATGACCCCGAGATGAGTGGATCCAGGCTTCTCGCCATGAGTTCAGTTTGAATCCTAGGAGTTGATTAAGCAATGCATTCATGAAGCTTTATTTTTCTCTCCAATCAGGTCTGGACTTCAAAGCCTCACACACGAGCATCCTCGCCCCTCAGGCAGAGCTGAGGGAAGGGCCCACAGGGTCCTGGGCAGGGGCTTCTGAAGCTGGGTGTGGGTGTTCTCAGGGCCCTCAGCCTGCCTTCCCTGCTGGCTCAGACGGTAAAGAATCTGCCTGCAATGCAGGAGACCCAGGTTTGATCCCTGGGAGAAGGAAATACTCCAGCATTCTTACCTGGAGAATCCCATGGACAGAGGAGCCTGGCAGGCTACAGTCCATGGGGTCACAAAGTCGGGCACCACTGAGTGACGAACACTTTCACTTTTCCCCTGCCTTACAAGTGGTAAGTCCTAAACTTGGGGAGCAGGTTGGGAGGCATGTTTAAGGAATGGCAAACTGGAACATTTCAGGGACAGCTGGCAGATGCGATTCCAGGCTCGGCCCCAAGGACTAGCTGGCAGCTTCTCAAAGAGGCTGAAAGCCCCACGGCTTACTCAGAATCATTAACAGTCATGACTCTTGGCCCTGGGGAATTTTGCTTCCCCGTTTGCTGCCATCTGAGGCTGAATCCAGGAAGCCTGGGGGCACCCATGTAAACCTCCCGGGAGAAGCTGAACAAGTGTGCATGGCCCCTGAGGAAGGACCCTCACCTGGACCTCAGTCTCTGCTCCCCAGAGCAGTCTGCGCCAAGCCAGCAGCCGGGAGAGGACAGGCCCATTCCACAGGGCCGACTGAAGGGGGGAGGTAGGCCCAGACAGGTGGCTTTCAGAAACACTAGACACCTTTAGTTGGGCAGGTTCCCCTACCATTGGGATCCAGCCTCTATCTGTACTGCAAAGCAACACCAGCAACGCACAGGACTGCCACAGTGCAACGCGTGCAAAAGGTGAGTGCCCTGGACGATACCATGCTCACTCACCGTCCAGACCACCTGCCCTCCTAACTCCGCTCTCTCCAAGCTGAGTTTTCAATTTCCAAACTTGCTTATCAATTTTTAGGGTCCTGATGCTCCCTCTTTCCTTCCTCAGATGCCCCTGAAAGGAGTCCAGACTTAGGAACAAACATGACCCCAGGTGACCCTGAGGCAGTGCAGTGTCCTCTGAGCATCATAGTTTAGGGACGTGGACGGCCCATAGCTGGCTCCATGACCATCGCTCTAAGCTTGGACCTTCCATGTAGACCACAGCTCCACAGGCACGTGAGAGAGACAATCTGGAAACACCTGCCTCTTTCTCTCTTCTCTCCTGAAGCAAGTACAATCATAGACCTGCAGTCTCTTGTTTCTCTCCAAGTCCTACTGACTTTTGTATGAGATAAAAAGATTAGCTTTAAAATAAGGCCAAGCACGGCTCCCGAGTGTCCTATAAATGAACCCATGCAGTGGACAAAATACAAACTTCTCCAGGGACAGTCCCAGTGAGAATCATCATATAAACATTGCTCATTACAATCATTTTACTGAGGTTTTGTGTGTGAGTGTCTATGTATCTGTTCTGCTAATAAAGCAAATCCGGGCTCATCACCCTTCCTGCCGATGCCCCGTACCCTGAGGAATGCCACAGGAACACTTGGGAAGAGGTCAAGAAAGAAAAGAAGCAAAGGGCCTGTGTGATGTAGCCAATGGCATGGAGCTGGGCCAGAGATTCATCTGGAGCCCACAGGGCCCTCCCCTTCTGCGCTCCCTTAGCAGCTAAGGGCTGCAGATCACAGCCCAGAGAGTCTCTGGCTCCCCACCGCCAGTCTCCAGTTCTTGGCTCATCTCTTTGGGGAAAACAGACCTGAAGATTCCCGGCTCTAAGTGTCTAGAGGAGGCACCCGAAGCCAGCTCAGTTGCTTTTCAGCCTTAACTCTTCCGAGACAGGAAGTCAAGAGGCTCTGCCCTCCCTGTCCCTAAAGCTCCCCTTGTCCCAAGCTTGTTACAAATGACGACGGTACAAAAATAGACGGTGACATCAGACACAGGCTGTCCAAGGACAGGGAGCACTGGGAACTCCCGGTGCCCACCGCAGTCTCTGAGGGGGTCTTGGCAGAGAAGCCCAGCGTGCTAATACACACGCGGGGTCCCTGCTGCTGTCTCTTTCCTGGTAGTTTTTATGTTGTTACAAACATCATGGCAGTAAGAAAAAATTAAAAGTGAAGGAAAATACCCTTTACACGGCATGCCCCCCTCTTCCAAAACTGTGCAGAGAGAGTTCAGATGCAGCTCCCATCTTGCAGGGTGGGGGCGCACGCCTCTCCCCGGATCTTTCCCTGGAGAGAGACTGCCGAAGCGACTGGTCCCACTTGCGTTTTCTGTTGGGAAAAGCCTACTTTCAAAGTTGTTGGTCATGTAGGTGTGTGGTGGGGGGGGCGGTGTCTAGGGCAGGACGGTAGGTTTTTGTCATCTTGGACTTTTCCTTTTTTTTTTTTTCAACAGACCTCTCAGCTCGCGCCAAAAATGTCTCTCTCTGACTCTGGGGACTGGGGCCTCGATATTTCAAACAGCTCCTGAGGCGACTGAGAGGATCTTCTGGAAGTTAATATCCTGAGTATCTCAGCGAGCTGTTTCTCAATGTTCGTCATCTTGGTGTTCAAGGCCTTGATGTCCTCCTTGAGTTCATGCTTCACCTCCAGGACGGTGGCCTGCAGCGTCTGCTCAGGAATGGGGTAGAAGGAGTGCTTGACCTCCGCCAAGATGGGGCTCCGGTCCTGGGGGCTTCTGGCCTCACCTGCGTTGTCCAGACGCAGGTCACTCTTGGTGATGCCGCTGTCGCACGAGTCCGTCTTCTTGAGTGTGGCCTCGCCGGCGGCCTTCGTCCTCTCCGGGAGCGTCTCCATGGACTCCGCCTTGGACACCTTGCTCCAGTCCTCGGCCTTCCCACAGGCATCCTTGAAGCGGGCCCAGCCCTTGCGCTTGGCGCAGTCGGCCCCGCCGGCCTTGGGGCCCAGACTCTCGGCCCCGGGTGCCTGCAGCCGGGCGTGGTCCAGCCCCATGGGGGCGGCGGCGGCCGGGAAGGCCACGGGCGTGGCGGGGCTCTCTCGGACGGTGACGACGCTGGCCTTCGCCAGGCCGTGGTGGCTGTGCTCGGTGAGGACGCTGCCCTTCTCCACGTCCAGGTCGTCCAAGTCCCGGCCGCCCCTCTCCGCGGCCAGCCTGGCTTCCTTCTGCTGGCGGAACCTCTGGAAGAGCCGGCGGACGGGGTGGTCAGGCGGCAAGATCAGGGGGGCCTCATTCTTCCGCTTCATGCGCTCCTCCTCCTCCCGTTTCACGTCACTGATCTTCCGGAACACGATCTGCAGGGAGACACGGCAACAAGCCCTGTTAAGCCAGCTGTGGCGCCAGACCACCTGACCTGCCTCCTGAGAAACCTGTGCGCAGGTCAGGAAGCAACAGTTACAACTAACGGGACCTGGAACAACGAGCTGGTCCCCAGTTGGGAACGGAGTACGTCAAGGCTGTATTCTGCCACCCTGCTTATTTAACTGCTATGCAGAGTACACCATGTGAAATGCCGGGCTGGGTGAAGCACACGCTGGAATCAAGATTGCAGGGTAAGACCCTGATGCTGGGAAAGATTGAAGGCAGGAGGAGAAGGGGACGACAGAGGATGAGATGGTTGGATGGCATCACCGACTCAATGGACATGAGCATGAGCAAGCTCCAGGAGACAGTGATGGACAGGGAGGCCTGGCGTGCTGCAGTCCATGGTGTTGCAAAGAGTCAGACAGGAATGGGCGAGTGAACAACAGCACTGGTCCAGGCACCAGTGATTGGCAAGGGAGGATCCAGACTTACCCTGACAGTCCTGCCAGCCCACAGGGATGCCTGATGTTTTGGGCATGGGAGGCCCATGCTGAATCCTGAACAGCGTAGATGGGGAGACAGGATGCCCCAGGGCAGGGGTGGCTGCTGTGCCTCACTCAGCCCTCTGGAGATCCCTCTGAAGGCTCACCGAGCAGTGGGGAGAGGGCTTTGATAGACAGTCAGGGAGCTGAACCAGACTGACACCCCGCTCTTCCGAGTGCAGGACTTCCTGAGCAGTTGTTTTCAAGTTTGTTTGAAAAAGTAATCCTGCTGGGAGCTGAGGTGAGTCAGCACCTTCAACTGCCTCTTCTGGGTTGCGTTTCAGGAGCGCCTAGCCCCTCTCCAGCCCTGACCAGGCACCCCTCAGGATCCCCGTGACACGGGGGGTGGGGGAGGACAGGCCTGGAGGAAGGTGGGCCACCTGGAGTCCTGACAGCACAGAGGATGGGAGTCCAGTGGCTTAAAAGAGCTTAGATTGACGAGCAAACAGATTTGTAAAATGTCAATTCTCAGTGGTTTGAGTAAATATAGAGACTGAGGTATGAATCATAGCAAACTGTGGATAAACCCAAAGAGATTTTGGTTTTAAATGAATTTAGACATGCGTCCCAAATCTGAAACACACAGAGAACAGTAAAAAGAAAACTCTGCCACTGACCGGCTGTGTGACCTTGGGCAAGTCACGTCCTTCCCTGGCTGGACCAGATCAACAGTTCTCAAATCTAGCTGCATGATTCAGAGCCACCTAAGGAGGAAGTGGTCCCTACTGAGGGAGGATTCCCCATGGCAGGGTCAGAAACAGGCATTTGCAGCAAGCTCCCAGGTGATTCTGACCCGGCAGCTGAGGCCAGCTCTGCTGACCAGGCTCTCAGAACCCCAGGGCTGACGACTGGTGAGATCACTCTGCTGTCCTGCATGTGCGCACCTGCTTATCGTGAGTGTGGCCACACACCACGTCCGTGCCCTCCTCCCCTCCTGCGTGATGCTGAGACTGAGCCAGGCGCAGCGTGGGGCCGTGGGAGAGGAGGAGCAATGACCCCAGTGAGACCAGCGCGCCCCTGGTCACTGACGGATACTGAAGCGGCTCACCGGCAGGCTCTGCAATCACTTCTGCCACCTTTTTCCTCCGACTGGACAGAAGGCTGGTGTGCTGTCTGGGGTGGAGGACACCAAGCCAAGCAAACATGCTGAGCACCTACTGTGTGCAAGGCACATACCCATAACCACTCCACTGCAGAGGGAGGCTTTTTGCCCAGAGCTGGAGTCTATCTGGCAGTGACTCAAGCCACTTACAGGGACAGAGCGGCGTGGGGTCAGGAGGAAGGCCCACCCGAATGTCCCTAAAGGCCCTGGTGACGCTGTTTTCCTCATAGTTTCCTCAGCCACCAGCCCCCTCTGCCGCTAGCCCTGCCTGGTTTTATGACAGAGCATAAAGCATGAAGATTAATGAACTTGACCATTTAAGAAACTGAAAACACAGAAAAACAAGCTGGAGATGAAGAGATATGACAAGGCTTTTTGAAAAGGCTGCTTCTTAACCCCCCTCAGGATGGCCATTTCTGTTTCCTCTGGAATCAAATGCTGCATTTTTCTCTCAACAGCATCAGGAACATATGGTCCATGCAGACGTGGAGTCCCAGCGGGTGCGGGGCTCCCAGAGAGACCGAGGCCAGTCCAGGTCAGTAATCACTCCCTGAGCTAAGCCTGTGTGCTGCCGGCGCCTGGAGCTAGACAGGAGGAAAGCACAGCGCTGCCCTGGAGGCAGACTCGGCTGAAGTACGAGGTGCTGAGTTTCCCCGAGGAGGGTCGGGGAGCGTGGGGTGGATAGAGTCACAGGCAGCATGAGCACAAGGTTTGGACCCCAGACAGGCCTAGGACCACGGTCCTCAAGCTTCAGTTTCTTCATCTGTGAAAGCAGACAACACTACTGGTTCCCTGGTGGCTCAGATGTGGAGAGTCTACCTGCAGTGCGGGAGACTCGGGTTGGTAAAATCCCCCGGAGAAGGAACTGGCAACCCACTCCAGTATTCTTGCCTGGGAAACCCCATGGACAGAGGAGCCGGGCGGACTACAGTCCATGGGGTCGCACAGAATCCAACATCACTGAGCGACTTACAGTACACTTAGAATCACGAGGATCAAGTTGGATAATAGACGAATCTTAAAAAGAGTTCTTGACATTCAGTAGTCACTGAGTAAATGTATTATGTATCATTCTTTGTGGGGGCAACCCTCGAGATGATTCTAGAAGGATGAGTTGGAATTAGGAATAAAAGGTGAACGACTTGGGCAGAGGTGTTCACATGGGAAACAGCACATGTACCGACACAAAGGTAGGAAGGCCACCCAACAGAGAGAGACGTCTTTGTGGCAGCAGTCCCAGTGGGAGGAGACGGCTTTGTTCAGTGTTTGGTGATGTGCGCTCTCTCTCACCATCCTCACAGCAGCTCCAGCAGGTGGGGACAGCCATCCTCATTATTTGAATGAAAAAACCAAGCTTAGAAAGGGTAGCTGACCACCTACGGGCCTCAGAGAAGGAGCTAAGACACAGACCCTGGCCATCTGAGCCCCAATCCGTACCCGTGTTCTTCGTCCTTCGCTAGGGGCGTGCCTTGGTTTTAGGGGAAAGGATGATTTTCTCGCGTACGTGTTGATTAACCCTGCCCCACCACCCCTCTCCTGGTTTCTCTTACTCTGTCCATCAGCAAGTTCTCTGAAGAATTCAGGGTCAGCACTGCAAAGCAGAGGGGTCTGGCCAAGGGGCAGGGAGAGACCGTGAAGCTGAGGATCTCAAAGAATCTAAGAGGAGGAGGATTCACTAGGTACATTAGAACCTGTTAGTGTGGGCCTTGACTGTGAGAGCCAGGTTTGGAGTGGGTTAGGTGAAAAAAGACCCTGATGCTGGGAAAGATAGAGAGTAGGAGGAGAAGGGGACAACAGAGGATGAGATGGTTGGATGGCATCACGGACGTGGTAGACATGGGTTCGGGTGGACTCCGGGAGTTGGTGATGGACAGGGAGGCCTGGCGTGCTGTGGTTCATGGGTCGCCAAGAGTCGGACATGACTGAGCGACTGAAGGTGAGAAAGAAGACCTGTGAGGACCCAGGAGCTGAGTATTTTGGTTACTGGGAAAATCTTGCCTCCTTGGAGAGCGGTGAGGCACCAGTTACCCTCAGGGCGTGGCACCAGGTAGGAGGAGCAGGGGTGCAGAAGTCTCAGTGGATTTTATCCAGGGAGAATCTAGAGACCAGCAGTCCTCTGGTTCTGCGGCACTCAGAGTGCAGCTCACAGGCCAGGCCCTCCCACGCACCATCTGCAGCTTCCTCTGGCATCATCTCTCTCGCTCTTTTAAGGGCCCCCACTGACAGTGAGAGGGACAGACTAGCCTGGGTCTGCTCATCTCAGACCCAAGAGGAGTGAGGATCCCTCCTCCTCAATGCCACCAAGTGAAGGAGATGCACCCCTTGCTTGCTGCTCAGAGAGGAGAGGGCACTGTTGGGGTGTCACTGGCCTTAGGTGTTTCACTGAGGGCATATTTCTCACTCTCTTTTCCACTTTGTGAATCACAGGCACCAGAAGGTACGTCCACCCGAACCTCACGATGTGATGGTGTTTGGGCTTAGGGTCTTTGCCGAGGTAATAAGGTAAGGATGTTGAGGGGAGATCATTCTGCATCAGGATCCTTCCAAGAGACGGAAAAGAGAAGACGTGAAACAGAGCCAAAGGCCCCGTGAAGACGAAGGTAGACTTTGGAGTTTTGTTTTTAGCTACATCACTTTGCCGACAAAGGTCCATCTAGTCAAACCTATGGTTTTTCTAGTGGTCATGTATGGATGTGAGAGTTGGACCATAAAGAAGGCTGAGTGCCAAAGAAGTGATGCTTTTGAACTGTGGTGCTGGAGAAGACGCTTGAAAGTCCCTTGGACTGCAAGGAGATCAAGCCCGTCAATCCTAAAGGAAATCAACCCTGAATATTCATTGGAAGGACTGATGAAGCTCCAATAGTTTGGCCACCTGATGTGAAGAGCTGATTCATTGGAAAAGACCCTGATGCTGGGAAAGATTGAGGGCAGGAGGAGAAGAGGCAACAGAAGATGAGATGGTCCATCGACTTGATGGACACGCGTTTGAGCAAGCTCTAGGAAATACTGTAGGACAGGGAAGCCTGGCGTGTTACAGTCCATGAGGTTGCAAAGAGTTGGACGCCACTGAGTAACAACAATTTAGCTACAAGCCAAGAAGTGCCAAGGACTGCTGACAGCCCTAGCAGCTGAGAGAGGCATGGAATGATTCTCATGGCCTCCAGGAACAACCCTTCAGACACCTTGGTTTCAGGCTTCCATCCTCCACACGGTGAGAGAATGCATTTCTGTTGTTTTAAGCCACCCAGGTTGACATAATTTGTAATCACAGCCCTAAGACTTGGTTCGTATACAGCTGCTGCTTCTTGGCATCCTCTGAGAGTGGTCCTCCCCCAAAGCCCTGCCCTATTCTCTCTGCCCTGTGAGGTCTTTCTGCTTCAGTGCCCACCTCACCTTCGTGCAGCGAAGAGCCAGCAGGGGTGCTGACAAGACTGGTGCAAACGCCCTCCCTGCTGGGGCCCTGAGGACATTTCTTCTCTCCAGGCTTCAGTTGTCTTATTGACACAACTTCTTACTTTTAGCCTCGCTGCAGTGATGCGATGAAATGACATTTGTGAGAAACCTCTCCCTCCCTCCACACACAAGCAGTGCTGTTTTTCGCTCTAGCCCCAGCTCTAAACCTCAATCTTCCCGCGCAGAGCAGGGCTGTATCAGTGCCTCGTTGAGCCCTCAGCCAGAGCTCTCCCCTCCTCTCACCCATCTGTCCTCTGGGTGAGCCAAGACACCAGTCAGGCAGGAGGAAATGGGGAGCTGGTCACATGCGTCCCCCATCAGAGATGCTCCAGGATTAAAACAAGTGGACCAGCGTTCAGCCTCCAGAACTCCCTCAACAGTGCCTCCCTCCTGCCTAGGGAAGCACTAATCGTGACCTGTGAAATGAAGTTAACACTACGGTTTCATGATTCCACAGGAAAACTTCAAAGTGGAAGATGCACAGAACTAGGACAGATAATCCTAAAATTTATATGGAGCCACAAAAGACCCCAAATTGTCAAAACAATCTTGAGGAAAAAGAACAAAGCTGAAGGCATAACTCTTCCAGCCTTCATTCGCACAATGCTACAGAGTCATCGTAATCATAGTATTGGCACGAAAACCGATATATAGATCAATGGAACGTAACAGCACAGAAACAAACCCACACACCTACAGTCAATTAATCTACAAAAAGGCGGCAATATACAACAGAGAAAAGACAGAGTCTTCAGCAAGTAGTGTTGGGAAAGCTGGACAGCCACCTCTGAATCAATGAAATTAGACCCACTCCCTCACATCATATACAAAAATAAACTCAAAAAGGTTTAAAGACCTAAATAGACATGACGTCATAAAATTCCTAGAACATAGGCAAAACATTCTCAGGATATAAATTTTAGCAATATTTTCTTAGATAAGTCTCCCAAGACAAAAGAAATAAAAGCAAAAATAAATAAATGGGACCTAATGAAACTTAAAACCTTTTGCAGATTAAAGGAAACTATCAACAAAACGAAAAGACAACTTACATAACAAAAAAATATTTGCAAATGAGGCAGCTGGCGAGGGCATCATCTCACACCTGTCAAAATGACTTCATCAAAAAGGCTACAAGTAATAAATGCTGGAGAGGGTGTGGGAAAAAGGGAGCCCTCCTACATTGTTAGTGGGAATGTAAATTGGAACAGTATGGAGGTTCCTTTAAAAATCCAAAAGTAGAACCACTATATGATCTAACAATCCAACTCCTGAACATAGATCCAGTGAAGACCATAATAATGAAAAAATACATGCACCCCCGTATTCACAGCAGCATTATTTACTGCAGCCAATACCTGGAAACAACCCAGGAGCCCGTCAGATGACTGGTTAAAAATATGTGGCATATACTATATACCCTGGAATATTATCCAGCCGTAAAAAGAATGAAATAGGGCTATTTTCAGCAACATTGATGGACCTGGAGAATATCATGTTCAGTGAAGTTGGTCATAAAAAAACAAATATATCATTTATATGTGGAATCTAAAAGTTGAATTGCATCTACATACAAAACAATAAGGACTCACATAGGAAAGAAACTTATGGTTCCCAGAGGGGAAAGGGAGATGGGTGAGGGATAAGTTAGGAGTTTGGGGTTAACAGACACAAACTATTACATATAAAATAGATAAGCAACAGGATTTACTGTGTATAAATTTACTGTATATATCACAAGGGGCTGTATTCAATATCCTATAATAAGCAATAATGGAAAATAATCTGAAAAAACATAACCGAGTCCCTTTGCTGTACATCTGAAGCTAACACAACCTTGTAAATCAACTATTTTTTAAAAAAAGAAGGCAGAAGATAACTTGTGACTTGCAAAAATCAAACCCACCATATACTCTCTGCCTAAACATTTAGCTCACTCCCCACCAATTCCTTCAACCTATACTCCTGCACAAACCTGCTCACCACGACTCTGTAAAGTTGGGACCACGTTTATCTCCACCCTAAGCATAGTCTGAACGTTCTTTTTGCCCCTGACCTCAGACAGCGGGAAATGGGAAATAGGGGCATCTGTCCTCGAAACAGCAGGAGAGGGAACACAGGGTTGGGGGAGCCAGTGTGGGCACTGAAGGTTGACATTTTTCTTTTTTCTACTTTAAAAATTTTTATTTTATATTGGAGGATAGTTGATTTCTTATGTTGTGTTAGTTTCAAGTGTAACCACAGTGACTCAATTGTGTGTGTGTGTGTATATTCTTTTTCAGATTCTTTTCCCATGTAGGTTATTACAGAGCATTGAGTTCCCGTGACATACAGTAGGTCTTTGTTGGTTATTTTATATATAGTAGTGTGTACATGTTAATCCCATCCTCCTAATTTATCCCTCCCACCTTTCCCCTTTGGTAAGTTTGTTTTCTAAGTCTGTAAGTCTGTTTGTTTTGTAAGTAAGTTCATTTGTATCATTTTTTACAAATAACTGATAACATATGTGCTTAGTCGCCCAGTTTTGTCTTAACTCTGTGACCCCATGGACTGTCACCCTCCAGGCAAGAATACTGGAGTGGGCTGCCATATCCTCCTCCAGGGGATCTTCCCAACCCAGGGATTAAACCCAGTTCTCCCGCATCCCAGGTGGATTCTTTACCCCTGAGCCACCAGGGAAGCCCTGATATCACCTGATGTTTGTCTTTCTCTGTCTGACTTACGCAGGTTGACATTTCACTACCACCACTTTACATCTGATCACTCGACCGTGTTTCTGCTCCTTTCCTCAGCTGAACCTTCAACACAAATAGCGGCCAATACCAACCAGGTGCTCAACGAAGGACCAGATATTGGGCTAAGCACCTTGTCAGCATCAGTAACCCACTCCTCACAGCCACCCAGTGATGTGGGCACGGAAGTCATTCACCAGGCAAGTCTGCACCCGATGTACACTGGGTATTCGCTGCAGTTTGTGCTTCTTACCATCAAAAGAGGACAATGATTAAGAAAAGAGCCATCCTTCTTCTGGTTGGTTGCATTCTCTCAATTTTTTCTGGATTAAAGAATCTGATACAAAACACAGGTTTGTATAGCTGTAATTCTGCTCTTAAAAAATAGTTGCTTTCCACCACAATGGACAAGCAATGGAGAATTCTGACAACTTGTATGTTACTGAAGAGTTGGCTCTGATGTGAGTGTCACTGTCGTTTATGATCTGTGACACTCATCGCTTCAGCCAGATCACACCATTCCACACACAAAGCACTGGAGCAAATAATTTGATTAAAGCAATTGTCTAGTTTTGAAACATGGCGGTTCTAACAGTGTCACTGGTTTATTCTAGGGTTTGACTCCCCGAGTCAATAATTTTCTGTTGCACTGTAAAAATCCCCGTTTCCCATAGTAGGATGCTGACTCTCGAGCCATCGAATGCATGAGCCCAAGGGGTGCCTCCCACTGCTTCAGCAGGGAGCAGCCACTGAGCTGCCAAGGAAACTCGCCGTTCTACACTCCTTGAGAAAATGTCCACTACCGTCCCACTCACCTCTGAACTCCAGACATTCATCAGACCTGGTCTATAGAGCAAAGTCTCTCACGCCCTAGAGAGGGGTCAGGTGAGAGGTGATCTCAGAGACCCTCAAAATGAGGCCCCGTTTCTCATGATGTTGCACCGGGCACCTGTGCCTTCTCAAGAGCTGTTGGCAGGGCATCCCTGAGCCAAGCGATGGGCCCCACCTGGAGGGCTAGTTCTGCTCGCCCCTGTCCCTGCAGGGGCGTCTCCATGATGGGTCAGGATGGGGAGGAACTGGGAGTCCAGTTGGGAGCAATCCTGTATTCCCCAGAGGACCCTGCAGAAGCAAGAGTGCCTGGGTGGGTGTGGGGAGTAGGCGGACTGTGCTGGAGATGGGCTCCTCAGAGGCGAAGATAAGCGAGAGAGTTACTGAGCTTTTCTTTTGAGGCCCAAGTCCCCTCACCTGTGGCATATGGGGTACGAGTGTGAGAGGGGTGACTGGGGGGGCGGTCTCGGCCCAGGAGCCTCACTGCCTTCCCCAGCCAGGGCAGAGCTCTCCCTGATAAAGTGTGGGCGCCATACCCCAGCTCCAGTCACACCGGGCCCTGCACTGGCCCCTGAAAGTCAGAGCCGCACCCAGGAGGGCGCAGTCTGGGCTGTGTAGCAAGGTGAGCCCACCTGCCGGCTCAAGCAGCCTTCTCTGCAACACCGTCAGAAGTAGAACAGGGACCCCTCGCTTTCTCACAGAGTTCTCATCCAGCACCGTACACACAACCAGCTAACTGTGTTATGAGTCCTGCCCTAGCCACAGCTAGCCGAGAGACGAGCTGATCAGCTGTATTCCCCAGAGGACCCTGCAGAAGCAAGAGTGCCTGGGTGGGTGTGGGGAGTAGGCGGACTGTGCTGGAGATGGGCTCCTCGGAGGTGAAGATAAGCGAGAGGGTTACTGAGCTTTTCCTTTGAGGCCCAAGTGCCCTCACCTGTGGCATATGGGGTACGAGTGTGAGAGGGGTGACTGGGGGGTCTCGGCCCAGGAGCCCCACTGCCTTCCCCAGCCAGGGCAGAGCTCTCCCTGCTAAAGTGTGGGCGCCGTACCCCAGCTCCAGTCACACCGGGCCCTGCACTGGCCCCTGAAAGTCAGAGCCGCACCCAGGAGGGCGCAGTCTGGGCTGCGTAGGAAGGTGAGCCCACCTGCCGGCTCAAGCAGCCTTCTCTGCAACACCGTCAGAAGTAGGACAGGGACCCCTCGCTTTCTCACAGAGTTCTCATCCAGCACCGTACACACAGCCAGCTAACTGTGTTATGAGTCCTGCCCTAGCCACAGCTAGCTGAGAGACGAGCTGATCACCTTTCCTCTCTGAGCCTGGGTTTCCTTGCTTGGAAGCTGAGAATGCTATTGCTTGCTTTGGCCCTCAGGCAGCACTGGTACAAGGAGACTACTGTATGTATACACGGCCTGCATCACAATCACTCCCGTGTAACCTCCCGGCAGGCCTCGCTGGTGGCTCAGTGGTAAAGAATCCCCCTGCAATGCAGGAGACGCAGGTTCAATCCCTGGGTTGGGAAGATGCCCCAGAGAAAGAAATGGTAACTTGCTCCAGTATTCTTGCCTGGGAAATCCCATGGACAGAGGCACCTGGTGGGCTATAGTTCATGGAATCACAAGAGTCAACTTAGGAACCAAACAACAAAAAACCTCCCACTCCTTAAGGTCACTCCTTAAGCATCTCTGAACTTTACCCCAGGGGTCAGAAGAACCTTGCTATTTGTGCTTTTTGCATAAAGGACAGCATGGTTTGAGGAGTGTCTGGGGGATGGGGTTGGGCAACTGAAGGAAGGGAGGCCAGGGAGAAAGCTGTGATTCTAGCTAGTGACAGGTATGGAGACAGTGACACAGGAATGCAGAAGAGACAGATAAAATACAACATGGCCTGCTTCCCAACACACATGCCAGGTCATGATGTAAGAGAAATGGACATGATCTGAAAACTGAGCTTCAACCTGGAACCTCATCTGTGCCGGGTTCCTAAGGAGCATTTGCAGCATTGTGGGCGTCCCTTAGAAACACACATACCAACTTTCCTGCTGTCTCCCACCCTCGGAAGCTGTATGAAACCATCTGAATGCCAGGAGGTACCCTTAGCCCTTCCACAGGCAGTTCTGGTAGCCTGTCTATGCGTCCACTCCCAAGGGCCCCCACGCTGGCCCGCTGGCTTTCCAGGGGGAGGGACACAGTAGTCCCATTCTTAGAAAAAATCATTAGAAGAAATCTTGGGGAGCTCAATCTTTAACCTTGTCTCTCTTTTCATAAAAGCTCCATCCTGAAGCTAATATCCCAACGGTGAGACTCAGAGCTCCTTTGCTTTGATGGTACATTGTGGGAGGAAGCCTGGAGTCACTGCCCGTCTCCAGCAGTCATGACTGACCAGGAGAGGGATGGAAACCTGTCATCTTTTAAAAACTACCTGTCTACGAGAGATGGATAAATTCTTACACACATACAATCTTCTAAGACTGGCTCATGAAGAAATATAATCTGAATAGACTGATTATTAGTAAGGAGACTGAATCAGTGATCAACAAATTCACAACAAACAAAAGTCCAGAACCAGAGGACTTCGCAGGTAAATTCTACAAATGTTCAAAGATTAAGTATATGTCCTTCTCAAACTTCTCCAGAAAGTTTTACTAGGTCATCATTATACTGATAACCAAAAATCAGAGAAGGCTACCACACAACAGGAAAATTACAGGCCAACATCCCTAATGAACATACATGCAAAAATCCTCAACAAAATATTAGCACACTGAATTCAATAGTACATTAAAAGGATCATACACCACGATCAAGTGGGATTTATTCCAAAGATGCAAGGATGGTTAAACATCCACAAATGAATCTGTGTGATGTACAACATTAAAATGAAAAGTAAAACTCAGATGATTATCTCAATAGATGCAGAAAAAGCATTTTGAAAAATTCAATATCCANAAGGGACTCTCAAGAGTCTTCTCCAACACCACAGTTCAAAAGCATCAATTCTTTGGCACTCAGCTTTCTTTATAGTCCAACTCTCACATTCATATATGATTACTGGAAAAACCCTAAGTACTTCATAAAAAACTGTTTGAAATAATAAATTCAGTAAAGCTGCAGGGTACAAAGTCAATATATAAAAATCCTTTGTGTTTTTGGGACTCAACTGGTGATCTGGTGGTTAAGACTTCATGCTTCTAATACAGGGGACATGGGTTTGATCCCTAGCTGGTCAGGGAACTAAGATTCTCACATACTGCATGGCATGCCCCCCCCCAAAAAAATCAATTGTGCTTTAATACACTAAAAATGAACTGCCATAGAGAGATATTAAGGAAATAATCTCCTTTACAATTATATAAAAAAGAATAAAATGCCTAGGAATAAATTTAACCAGAAAGACCTTACACTGAAAACTGTAAGACATTAATGAAAGAAATTGAAGAAGACACAAGGAAATGGAAAGATAGACAATCATCATGGATTAGGAAGAATTGTAAAAATGTCCACATTACCCAAAGCCATCTACCCAAAAATTCGAGTGACATTTTTCACAGAAATAGAACAAAAAAACCCTAAAATTTATATGAAACCACAGAAGATCTCAAATAACCAAAGCAATCTTGAGAAAGAACAATATGGAAGCATCATGCTTCCTGATTTCAAGATATATTACAAAGCTATGGTTAAAAAAATATATAGTATTAGCATAAAAAGAGGCACATAGATCAGTGGAACACAATATAGAGCCCAGAAATGAACACACATGTGACTGACTAATATATGACAAAGGAGGGAAGAACACACGGGGGGGAAAGGAGAACTTCACCAATAAATGGTGTTAGTATCACCTCACACCAGTCAGAATGGCCATCAGCAAAAAATCAATAAATGATAAATGCTGGAGAGGATGTGGAGAAAAGGGAACCCTCTTGCACTGTTGGTGGGAATGTAAATTAATACAGCCACTATGGAGAGCAGTATTTAGATTCCTTAAAAAACTAAGACTAAAACTACTGTATGACCCAGCAATCCCAGTCCTGGGCATGTGCTGAGAAAAACCACCATTCAAAAAGACACATGTACCCCAGTGTTCATTGCAGCACCATTTACATGGAAGCAACCTAGATGTCCATCAAGAGATGAATGAATAAAGAAGTTGCAGTACATATATACAATAGAATATTGCTCAGCCACAAAAAGGAACACATTTGAGTCAATTCTAGTGAGGTGGATGAACTTAGAGCCTGTTACTCTTACCTATAAGGTAAGTCAGAAAGAGAAAAATATCATATAGTAATGCTATATATGGAATCTAGAAAAATGGTAACTGATGAATTTATTTGCACTGGAGGAATGAAGATGCAGATGTAGAGAATTTGTGGACACAGTGGGAGAAGGACAGGGTAGGACAAATTGAGAAGGTAACATTGACATATATACACTACTCTGTGTAAAATCGATAGCTAGTGGGAAACTGCTATATAACACAGGGAGCCCAGACTGGCACTCTGTAATGACCCAGAGGGGTGAGATAGGGAGTGAGAGAGAGGATCAAGAGGGAGGGGGGATGTGTATATATATACACACACACATACATGTGACTGATTCACATTGTTCTACAGCAAAAACCAATACAGCATTGTAAAGTAATTATCCTCCAGTTAAAAATAAATAAATGGTGTTAGGACAACTGGACAGCCACATGCAAAAGAATGAAAGTGAATCACTGTTACACCATACACAAAAATTAATTCAAAATGAATTAAAGACTTGAATGTAAGACCAGAAATCATGAAACTCCTAGAAAACACAGGTGGTAAGCTCCTTGACATCACACTCAGTGATATTTTTTGGATCTGACTCCAAAGGCAATGGCCACAAAAGCAAAAATAATGGGACTACATCAAACTAAAAAGCTTCTGCACAACAAAAGAAACAATCA